ATCTAATTTAAAGTTTGAATCACATGAAGAAAAATTTTATGATTGGATAATCAAAGCTACACAAATCATATTTTTAAGGAGTTAATTTACGAAAATTGTAATTATTTTGATGTAGACTACTGGTTAGAATATTTATTCTGGCAGCAAAGTAACCAGGGTTCGATACTAGTAAGCGGAGCTATCCTTCCTAGAGTATTGATCTCATATAGGATACGTGATGGCCACTCAGGGGATGAAATATCAGAATGAGAATATTTTTTTACTTTATTTTGTCTATTGTTTTATTATTATTATTATGTACTTATAATATATTTTTAGTTAGATATTGAATTTAATAACCAGGATGATATCCGTTATCTGCGTATAAAGGAAAGAAAATATCATAATGCAATCATCGATCTAATCTGGACATACAAGCATGTTACACAGTCATCATCGATTCAGGATTCTAGATTTTTAATAAGTACGTATTGTTAACACGCACGCGAGTTGTACGGCACAAAATGTCTAACCCAGAATTTCGAATACCTTCAGCAGACTTCACTTTTAGTACTGAACGCGATTTATCAGATGTAGACGAATTAGCCTTTCCACAAACTACAAGATTTTACGGGAGAGACAACGGATCCTTTGATTCTGAGTCATATCTAACATCTTCTACAGGTGACGCGGCAGTGGAACAGAATGGAACAATTTACAATTCTCGAAAGGTTTATCTTAATCCTCTTTATATGCATGATGGTGAAATAAATTGGTCCAATACAAATAAAACTCTGGGAGCAAAATTTTCCCCAAATTCTATAAACGGTTTGGTGTGCTATGTTTTTGGAAAGGAACCAAAAGAAAAGGTAAAAACTTTATCCGTTTATTGCGTTGATAATTATTTCTTGTCAATCTAATCTTTGAAATTCTACAGGGTGAAGAAGCTGAAGAGATTCTTAATCAAGATCAACAAGTTTATACATGTCCTCTAAGTGGAACGATTGATGACCGGAGGTCGGTAAGTGTATGCGTGCAATGGATCTTTTTAAAAAGTTACTAGGTTATTTAAGTTACTTATTTAATTGTTTATCTAGTTTTACAATGATTCATATTTAAAATTTATGGAAGCAGCAAGAATTGACCGAAAAGACATGTAGTTATAAGTTATTTTGATGTATAGATTACTCAGTTAAAACCTGACTTTTATAATTAATTATTATTCTGTAAATATCGATAGAATACGCACGATTAAACTATGTAACATCTATTTGGATTATTCAAGACTAATTACTAACCGCATCAAAAAACTTGCTGCGGTATTTGAATTTATTTAAGATATTTTATGTTTACCACAAGAATAATTTATACTATTTATCTAAAATTATTTAAATTATTTAAATTGGTGGTAGATAAAATTTAAAGACGAAAAAGTTCATTCTGAGTTGTCGACATTTCAAGATATCTCTGCAGTATGGGAGCTATGCCGAATAATTTATATTCCGTCAACAAAACAAGAATACAATCAATTTGGACAACTCTCACTCGAACTTAGAAAATGGATAAATCTTTGTTTTCCTTTACATCGTAAATTTTTATATTTTTGTTTTTAATTATTATCGAAAAGTTATATTTTTTATATTATAAACTTGGTTTAATATATTTTATTTTTTTTTAATTAATAGCCTTAACAGAAGAAGAGGAGGACCACCTAGAACAACAACAACAAAATCAAGAACTCCACCAAGATGATTTTTTTTGGTCTCGTCTTTACGGGTAAGTATAGCCAATCTAAATTAGATACTTTTTTTTTTTTAAATTGGAATTAAGTTTATTCTTATTCAGATTGGTTATTCGAGGGTTAGCTGGAGCAAAAACGTTCCTAAAGGGCATTGACAAAAATGATGGATCAGAGCTTAGCGATTATATTAAGCTTGTGTTAGACATACTAGATTCCAGACCACATGTCGCAGATCTTGAATATCATGAGTTCAACCTTCGTAGGCATGAATGGCTCAGTAAGATCAGGTAATTATTAGTTATACGCTAAAATATTATATTATCAAAATTTTATTTTGAATACTTTTTGATATGTAATGTAAAGTGAATATTATGAATATTATTCAATTGTACTTCATATAGTGACCTTCAGACGAAAATTCGTGGTGAAAGTTTTTTAGAAGGAAGAATCTATGATATTTTAATGATATTACGTGGCCATACAAAAACTATTATTGAAAAGAGTTCGTCATGGCAGGAAGCCCTTGGGGGCCTTGTGTATCACGGTCGTCCGACATGTGACGCACAGGAATTGAAGTAAGTTTATATTTTATATATAAAACTGTTTCGTATTATTGTCTACTTTATATCTTACTCAGTATTTTTGTATCAGAAATATCATGAATGTAATATTGAAGAGTATAGACACAGGCAGTACCCCAGTGGATGATGCATTAATTGAATTTATTTTTCGGCGAGTCGAGAAAGTAAAATTCAACCAAAATTCGTCATTGTATTTTCTTCAATATCTGATAGTAATGATTTCTTAGGGGATTCAACATTGCGAACGCATCGATTTGTGGTTATCAGCACATTTATCTGATATTTTAAATAAGTTGGATTTGGTTGGACGAATTCATTCACAAAGTTCTCATCAAAGACAATCTAATATTACAACGCAGTAATAATTTTTGTTATTATTTATAAAGTTATTATTATTATTGTTTTATGACTAAATAATTTTAATTTTTTTTTTTAATTTAGGCCTGATGTAGACATTAGAGAACATTATTTGCTTAGTTATGCCGAATCTATGGTGTTTCATACCACGCTCTGGCAGTTAGGATTTAAATATTTTGAACAGTGTGAACTATGTGGTTATTCATATATGTCTCAGGTGAATGGATGGAATTTTTTTTTTTCATATAATTAATGTATGACTAATTTTTTATCTGATTAAAAGCTTGTTGTTAGGATACCATTTGAAGACGAATATAAAACCAATAAGTTATTGAGTATATGCAAAGAAAATGGATTAACTTTTCAAGAGAAAACTATTTCAAGGGTATAAACAAGTTATATATCTTTGTTGTTTCTTAATTTTCTTTTATTTATTTCGTTTGTAAAAAAGATTATGGGTAAAAAATATTGGCAAAACGAACGATACGCGTCTGCGATAGTATACTTTATAAATGCCGGAGATACTGCATCACTGGAAGTAATTTATCGTAGGTTTTTGGATAACTATATCGACACGGGTAAGTGTGCTCTGAGTATTTTGTACTTAAATTACTTAAATTACTTAAATTATTTAAAATTGAATTTTGAAAACCTAAATTGCATTCGTTACAGGTGAATTAACATTTTTGAATACTATTGAGAGTATACAACTCGATGACGATTCTCCTGTTTCAATTAAGTTCTTATCGAGATATCGATTCTTTCACGCCTTGAAGCAGGTAATATATGCTTATTCTATTAGTAATAATATTGTATATTTTTAACACAACTTTGCAATTTTAGAATGGTGAAATACAAAGGGCTGGCACAATATTGATGGAATTACTAAGAGCACAGGTTGCTCCAATAAGTTTTTGGCCTGTTTTATTGCTTAACGCACTACCGTTATTACAAGGAGGTAAATATAATATGGAATCGAAATTTAGATGAGATTTTTAAATATCCATTGCCTTATATATTATTATTATTTTTTTTTTGGAAAACTTTATCAGGAAAAGCACGCAAAATGATAATCTTTAGTACACAAGATACACTAGAAATATTAAGAAACTTGCAAGATGTTACGTCGTTCGTATACCAAGAAGAATTTTCAGCGTGTATTGAACGATTAAAGAAATGGCATACTGTAGAGAATGGATATCCAGAATTAGACAATAATTTAACATCTTTAAGGCTCGCACTTTTACAAAATTCAGCAGATTGTTACATTGAGAATCCATCTTCACCATGGATGTTTGAATAACTTGTATATATGTGTCATGAATGTGTATATGATTCATGCACTTTATAATATTAAATAATAATAATAAAATTGGATCAAAATATAGAGATTATCATTCACGATAATATACTTTTATTTGACTTTCATAAATTCGATTTCAATATTTCTTAATAAAAAGAGCGTATCAAATAGCGTACGCGTGTTTGTTTGTGGGTCTGGAAAAATTTTCAGATTGCTATTCAAATAGCAGTCACGGGTATACTACATATAATATTAAAATAACCATTCACAATCATGATATCAGTAAAATTTCTGATATATATAAATTTAGATAACAATCATATAATAAAAGAAAAAGGGCAACGCGTATATACTTAATATATTTGACACAAAAATCTAGCTGTAAGGTTTATATTTATTATTTTATGATAATATTCAAAGTATTTTTATATTTACACCTTCTAAAGAATTTGGACAAAATTTTCAAGATGGCTATAAGTACCAGTGTAACCCGTTCGTCATATAACCTGTTATTCTTTTAATAATTAACATGATGGAATTTTTACATAAACTTTATCATTATTTTAATAATTAATACTATATATTCATGGTAGAAACAAGTTACACCTTACGATGGCAATCATACTTTTTTTTTTTTACAATGGTCGCGTAAGGATATCGCGTAAGAATCGGCGGTATCCATCAACACATAGTATTACTACAAAAAATCAATTTTTTTTTTCTTAATTAAAAATAATAATTTTTTGGTTTATAAAGTCATTAATTAGATGAGGAATAGCGAAACGAAGATAAATTAAAATAAAATCAAAGGTCTGATATATATATAATTACTTTTTTTATATCAATAATTTCATATCGCGATCAAAGTACGTGAGGTATTTACAAGATTCGCACGAGAGTTGTTTTTATTTGCAAATAGTTATTTTCCTGTACCGGTCTTATAAGAATTGGTATTTTTGGCGAACTGTGTGCTTTGGACTTATGCAGGAAAAAAATACTTAGATTCGTGTTTTTTTTCTTTTTAACGAATTTAAAGAATGTCAAAAAACAATTAATCATAATAATATATCGATTTATTTATATAACATTCAAGTTCTCATGATTCTGTACATTTCTAAAAGAAAAAGTAAATTATGTGATCTTATTAATTAACGTGTTTACATAATGTTGTAAAAATAAATAGCATATTGAATTTACCTATAAACTTTACATGCATTTCTCGCTTCATCATAATTACGCGTCTCAGATCACCCAGATTTCAAAATATTCATGTTACTGTAACTATTATTTTCAAACTTTTCTTTCACACGTTTCTGTTTTGCGCGTACATATCTTTCACGTTCAACGGTAGATATCTGACTAGCAGCAAATTTTATTCCGCGTTCTATAGAACCATCATGCATCTGTACATCTTGATGATTATTAAAATCATTAAAATTTTCATTGCTTGATTCATCATTATGACTCGATTCAACAAAATCATTATGATCCTCTTCAATTTGCATTGGTTCTAGTATATCTTGTTCATCACCTGATAATGGTTCATGTAATTCTTGATTTTCAAGGTTAAAGTAAGGTTTTTTACGAGAACGAGAGGTTTCTTGATAACCCTGTGGTGTAGTAGCAAATTCATTACTTGGTTTTTTTTGCATGGCCACAGAGTCACCTACAGGGGTTTCTGTAGATAATAAGTTACCCATTTGCTACGTATATATTGTACAATTGTGTGATGTTCATGCGTACTCATGTAATCAAGCAAATAAAAATTAAGAAAAAATTATTTGCCAACAATAGGTCTGTCCTTTTATATTTATTTGAATTTCTATGATGAAATGTTACGTATAAGTCACCCTTCCAAGAAATTCGTGATTTGTAATAATAGATGATCTATATCATAAAAATTTTTTTTAATTTCATGCCTCTAAAATTTATTACATCATCTTAACTCATTGAATTTCATCTCGTGACACAGATCTAAATTGTGATATCTAAGAATTATACTCATACGTACATACGTACGTACGTACGAAAATATTTTCACACAAATTTTATCTATAGCAAAACTAATTTAAATTATTCTAACCTGTTTTAAATTAATAATACGTAGCACCTTCCTTTTACTTTGAATGATATTCCACATCTAATTAGTGTTCTGGTATGTCTGTAACAGTCGAATGAGATTTTAAATATTTCAGTATTAAGTTTGTATTGAAAATTTTTTTTCAGAGAAATGATACGTCACACATTGATAATTCAATCACGGGACTTTGCGAGAAGCACAGCAGAGAATTAGCATCGTGTGAACTTTCCACCTTTATAAAAAAAAACTATAATCCGATTATTATAATAAAATTGTTATTTTTTGATATGAATACATTAAGCCGATAAAATGAATCTAAAAACCTTATAAAAGTAATTTACGTATGATAACCTCTTGAAATTTAGAATACGAAATAACTTTTAATTTTTATCTGTGTAAGTTTTAGTTACTAGATTAGTTGCACTCGGATAATGTGTACCAGGCTGTGACGTAGATCACTAATCAAATTTCAAAATTCAATGTAACGTTACACGATCAGGAAGATTCAAAACAATCGTTCGTTCTGTTAAAAATCGCCCATAGCTCAAAAATTAGCATAAGAAACCACCTTTGGTGTTCTAGCAAAAAGTTTTCGTTGAGCAATTTTACTTTATAAAACACTCACTAACCCTAACCCAAACCCTAACCCTAACCCTAAAGTTAACGAATTTTAAAAATTTTGCTACGTCACAACCTGGTACACATTATCCGAATGCGGATTAGTTTAGGTTCTTCGGTATGAACCATTAATCTGGATAATTAGGTAGTCCTTCACTTTGATCTATTAATATCGATAAACACATACACACGTACTGTACATACTGATACGCTTAATTGTGCAATGATCTTTTTTTTTTTTTTAATATTGATGCCTAAATAGATCTTTATAGTAAATATGTTCTCATATACGTGAAGAATTCTAAAGAAATTTCTGTCTACAATGAAGAGTATACAGAAACTTTCCACCTAAAAAGCGTAAATATCGGCATAAACTTATTTTCCGAAATTACCTCGTATTACATTTAGTCACAGTATACACGGACTTAATTGCTATAATTGATTCGTAGTTCATTCATTATGAATTATAAAGTCTGTACAGATAAAAAGGTAAAAGGAGAAGACGTCATAAGGATGATAATACCCAACAATGTAATTTTTGGATCAACTAATATTAAATATATATAGCTGGCTCGTTAAAGCAAATAACCAAGACATTTTAATATACTTAATTCCATATGAACAGCTTAATACAGGTTTTGGCCACCAATTTCAAACAAATTAACAATCAAATTCGGACATAATGACGATCAAAATTTGAACATAATAACAATCAATTTTAGACATTATAATAATCAAATTTAGATATCAAAGCAATCAAATTTGAACATCATAACTATCAAATTTGAACATTATAATAATCAAATTCAGACAATATAACTATCAAATTTAACCATCATAGTGAT